GGTACTAGACACAAGGAAGAAGAATACCTTGCCGTCCTCTGAGGTCGTTGCCAGGCGTTTTCCGCATGGACTGATGGAGATGGTTGAAACGGCTGCCTGAGGGGCGAGAAATGTTGGAAATGGACACAAGCCTCAACAGAGGTGACCTAGAGTGCATTGTAGAGCAATGGCATAAATAAAATGTGCAAATACATTCCGAGCGCTATCTATTGAACTGCAAGCATTAAACTGCGAAATACTTGTACATTTATAGATCATATGTTACCAAACTTTTATAGATCATATTCAGAAATTTCAATCCAAGAAGACAACATACTGAATAGGTATAAAATCCCACTATACTATGCGTCTCAGGCCATTATCAGGTGTCATTGGTAATGAAATTGTGAGCAGCGTGCTACTCTGAAAATATACTCTCCCCTATATCACATGAACCATCGGCCATTTGAATCGCAATGACGCACACCTTGTGCGGTTTGAAGACACTTGCAAGCTTGAAGCCGTCCAAACACCGCAACAGCGCTCGGACGGTTCCATCACTGAACCCCACAAGCAGGGTTCTGTTCTCAGGATCCAGAGATGCTGGCAACAACACCATCGTGGTGGCGGGCACTCCAAAAACGGCATTGAAGATTTCATTCCTCTCCCTGAGCAGCACCAACATCTTTTGGTGAATACTCTCACACGATAGGCAAGACGCGCACGCATAGAGATGCTATACACAATGGAAAATGGAAAAACAGACCTACCTTTGCTCGTCTGTGGTGAATAGTATGAAGCTAAAAAACATAGTATGAAGGACATAGCATGAAAACTGCCCGGCAATGTTGAATCAGTCCTGACATCCGCCCCGTCTTACGCATTGATTGCATCATTTGTACGCATGTCATGTAGATGGAAAAATGGTTTTGTCTCCTCAAGCCAATATCAACTGCGTTCTTGCTGCGGCTTCCACACCTGTAGTCATAGAGGCGTACAGATCCATCGCGAGCAGCTGTTATGGCGTAATGTTGCGTTAAGAGAGTGTCCATTCCGACAATTGGGCCGGCGTTGAATGACCACAGAACGTCGATCTTGGAACCGCGGCTGACTTGGCCGAAATCGGGGAGAGTGACCTGAATCAGGAGCCAGCAGCCTCTCGGACCTTTAGGTGATCGCGGAAACAATTCCACCTCGATTTGTTTGAGATCGCGATTGGTTGGCTGTAACCTCCAAACAGCAGAATTTTCTGGCACTCATCATAGAAACCGTTAGATTAAGTCAATGCGTTATAAATTATTGCTCAACCTAATGATTTAATTCAGAGGTTGTCAGGGGGCGGCGATGAAACAATTACCTTCTAGGAGCCTCGCAGACCCAAAAAACCTGAGAACTTTTCAATATCTCTTACAAAACACAACAGAAATCCGTCCCCTATCAAGCCACCACTAATAATGCCGGTAATGTGAAATTTGCTTTGCCAACGGCGGTCAAATTCTTATAGCTCGCGCGCAATGTTTGTAATGGAAGTGGCCGCCAACAATCTTGAAGAATATATTGCTGGATATGCGACATTTTGGTTCAGGTTCCAAATTGAATTGCAGAGATGAAAACAAAGAAGAGTTCAGTTATGTACAAAACAGCCCAACGTGCGTCTCTGTAATCATATCGCAGCTTACAGTTGGGGTGAACAACCGTTTCATCGCAACAAATTGTGCAATTCACAGCACAATTATGCAACTCGAGCAAACCGAGCCGAGCGCGGTGCTTCAGGTTACCTTGTAGATGGCGCCTGACTCTGCGTAGATCAGCCATTTGCCTTTCCCGCGTACAAGGCTTCGAATTCTGCACACCTCTCCTATCTTTATCTCGTCGAGTGGAGCCACTTCGCACTCGATGCAGCCGTCCGAGGGCTCGGCGTCCTGCAGCGCCTTGAAGTCCCATATGCGCACTGTGCCATCGGACCCTGCCGTGTACACATGTCCCGTCCCTTGATCGTGCTCAATAACATTAACGTTCCCATCATGGCATCCGGCCAATCCAGACCTCCTGAGAACAGCCTGCGCCCATGACCCACTGTGACACCCCGCGATGTCCAGAGATGGGATGCTTGTGCTTTACCAAATTTGTTCATCCGCGCGTCTATCTTTGCGCCTGACGCGTTCCAGGTGGTTCAAGAATTGTGGCATGATGATTCACAAGGCTTCAATACATGCTGACTCGTGTTTGCACAATTTCTGCCCATGGATGTTTGCAGCTGGTTTTGACACACAGTGATAATACCTCATTTATTAATGAAAAACGGTACTATGTGCCATCTTGAGGATAGCACCCTCAGTATACATACACTGCTAATCTACCGTATCAATTCTGCGGGCATTCTGGCGGCATTCTTATATGAATTGTTTCATGAATCACACGCGATATCCGTATGTTTCAAGAAGCATGCCACAGTGGAATATCGGGAGCAAAGCCCCCGACGTTTCGATTGCCGGCCGGCCGTAGAATTACATTTAACAGCTCACCATTGTAGCAATTGACACGCGAAAACTGGCAACAACACTGAAGACATCTAGACGCCACATGAGTAACGGCATTTACCTTGATGAGCCCTCCATCCCACAGCAAAAATTCTCCAGTTTCTGTCCCTGACAGGACTTTTCCATCCGGCATCTCTATGAAGGCAGCCACGTCGCTGAGCTCCACGTTTCCGAACTTCCCCAGAGCCCCTTGCAGCTTCAATCCCGTGAATGTCGCAGCCATCTTCCAGAACCTTATGTGCCCCGTTCCGCATGTTATCAAATGGCCGTCAAAGTACCGCGAGAACTGCACGGCATACACCTCTTGAGAAAAGGCCTTCGCGCGTAGGACAATGGCTTCAGACTCCCAGTTCCACAGCGTGAGCATGTAGTCAGGGAATCCCCCCACCTGGCACCCACAAAAAGGTCATCCGATCGTAAATTTCCATCCTGCTGTTCTGACCTTTCAAGGATCGAATCCGGAATACGGATCTCCACACGCAACATCTGCTGGTCGGATTCCGGCTGATCCAGGTGCCCACACCGAGGGCCTTTGTTTCCAGCTTGCGTCTAATTCAGGTACAAAACATTGTTTCATTGTCCGCATGTGCTAATGTGCCTTTAACTCTGTTCAAAAACGCTTTCGGAGTTACAACGACTATTGTTCGAAAATCTAAATGGTCACAGTAATTTTGTCTGCCGCACGCTGTCGCAAACGCCTTCGAGCCGCATGGGATCCCCCCAGCAGACAAAGAACATGAAGTTCAAATCCAGTTTCTGCCAGCCAGTGCAGGAATATCTGCAGCTGCTGTGAAATTTTCTCTCACACAACAAAATCTCGCAAGCGCAGCTGCGGAGCTCACCGTAGCAAGCAGGTCCCCCTTTCCGCTGAAGGCCATCGCGCTGTACGACTTCTCCGTACCGTTGGGTAGCACTTTGTCGATGATCAGCTCAGGGTACCGGTACACGTAAACATTTGGGCACCTCCTCGAGCACTTTTCGGCCACCGCGAAATATTTTCTTTCTGGATGGACGGACACTGCCCCTATGCCACCTTCATCCAGTCCCCGTATGTATTGATGGAGGCCGCTCTCCAGGTCGATGACCACGAGTGTGCACCCCGAGAAAGTGAGCAACTTGTCTTCTGACAGGAGAGATATGGGGCTCCTCTTGGATGCATCCAAGCTGAGGATCCCGCTGAGCTGGACCGAATTCCGCGGCAGCTGGGTATCCGGAGTGGGTTCGATGAAGGAAGACGGGTCGTAGCCCTCGTTTCGAGCGTATTTCGGCTGGCCGGCCATTGTCCCTGGCGGGAGTGTCACGCTGGCCCTGCAGGCAATATAAACTTTGATGCACTCCGTTCTGGCATTTGAGAAATTTCGGCAATGGCGACAAAATTTTGCCTGATCGCACTTGCGACTTTGCAAACCGAGGCAGAAGCGTCCATTATCGGCCATAAAAGCAGCGATACGGATATCTGCGGTAGCAGTGGAGTACTTGGCAACTTGAAGGGGGCACCAAGCTTATGCGGTGAATTACACTGTTGGACATGCGACGCAAAGTTGAATCGTGGGTGCGTGGGTATGTGTCTGGCTTGGCACTTGCCAGCAGGGTGTCAGCCGACTTTGCCCCCTGTCTGCACATCGGCACTGTCTTCTCTCAGCAATCTATTGCAGTCTAGGGAGTCCCATGTTCCACAGGAACCAGCCTGCATGAAGATGCTTCAAATCTATTGATACTCCACGATGCCCGTCCTTGCTAGAAGTGCGCATGCCAGCAGTGAGAGGCTTCCGTGTGCAGAGACACAGGTCAAAAGATCTGCTCGCTGGGAAGTGTGCGTATGTCCAGCAAGGCTCATCAACGCACCCAAGCGTCAACTGCTCTTGCAGCTGCAATGGAGCACCGTTTGGCGGTTGCAGCGTAAGCATTCAGCTGTTCAATACACGATGGACAACAGCCCCCACTTGAAAGTCACTGCTCTGCTCTACATTGATAACATCACGTACAGGCAAGCTTTCTCAGGTCGCCACAGCACGAGTTCGGGTCAGTATCGGCCGCATCTTGCACCTGGCAACCTCCTGATCGCGTAGCAGGTGCTTGCGCAGAAGCCTTTCGAGTCAGCACGCTCAGGCTGCACACCTCGTGTTGTGGGTCAGGACGGCAATGCAGGACAGCCACGCTGATGCCTCAATCTCCCATTGTAGAAGTTCAAACACATGGGCATGGGGACAATGCAGGAACAATGCCGAAAGTGCACGGAATGACAGTATCGTACCTGGCGGCCACGGCCGTGCGTGGCAGGCGCCGCGTCAATGCGACAGCCAAGATGGCACTCCCAGCACCTCGAATCGGGTAGGGATGCCACCCACTGAAGCACCTTGAGGCCCAACGGTTGGCGGATGCACCTCGCCCGTTCGCTTTCAGCACGACTCCCGGATCGTATGTTGAAGCACATTTGGTGTCCCGGGCCCCTGGGCGCCGGAACATGCCGGGGCCCTCACCATGAGCGGTGCGGATATCGTCGCGAGGGTTTCCATTTTGGACGGCAAGGGCTATGTCTGGGACGCAGCTCGTGAGTGTGCCCATCAGCAGCGCTAGGCTCTTCACCGGACCAGAGATGTGGGGTGGACAAGAATTTCACAGAGACATGGTGTTCGCACGCAGAAGCTAAGCGCCTGAGGGAAGAATGCAGGCTGGTGGGCGCCATGGTCGGAGGTCTACCCGGTGAGGGGGTTAAATGGCCAATTTGCAAACATGGACTGCAATGCGCTTGGGCCGTCGCCCAGCAACAAAACGTGCCCACTGGTACACCTGTCGCCCTGAGAAGGTCCCAATTGCGCAAGGAACAATGGGAATTCCTGTGTGGAAAGCTGTGCGTCTGTGCAGTGGCTACTGTGTTTCTTGGACAGTCAATGCAATCGTTGGGACACTACGTCTATGGCCCCATGCTCCTGGATGTGCCGTGCCAGGGGCATCCCCAGCCACAGCTTGTAGTCATGTGGCCCTGAAGCTCACTGGCATGGCTGTCCAGTGCACCCCTACCACAATACAGGAAGTTTCAAAGACTTTGATGTGCTGGCCAGCATGTGTGCTTCCTGTTGGGGTCCATGTGTGTAAACCAGATTGGACGATGAGGGTGCCCTGCAGCCACGGTAATCCGAGGACTAGTTGAGGTCTAGTTGTGGCACGATTGCAGGGTACAAGATGCAGACTTCAGTGAGGGGGCTACCTTTGGAGCTTAGCCCCGAAGAAGTCACACTGGCATTTGCAAAAGGTGCTGAAGCCAGGACACACCCAGAGATGCGCACACTTAATCATGTTGTGGGATCCTTGCTGGAGCCAGCAACTGTGCAAGACTATGCCCTGGCCCACAGTTGGTTGAGTTGTTATGTGGCAGCTCCAAATAATATAATCTGTGCATTTTGGCACGCATTGTGGCATCAGATCTGACCAGCCGGGTTGAGGAAAAAATTCCAGCTCCATGTTTGCATTCTGGAGCATGCTCCAAAATCTGCATGTTGCTGGTCAGGGGATAATGACTCTCAGGACTGCAGTGCAGGAGTTTAATGAGCCTTACAAACCAGCACATGGAGAATTGTAAACTGATCGTTGATGAGAACAAGTGGAAATGTTATTGCATGAAAGAGTAGAGAGCCTGTCACTGAGGCCAGATTTGTCTGCTCCTCAGAAATTCATACAAGACGAACCTTTTTGTCTGGCAAAACTATCCAATTAACTTTGCCCTGGCAGGTGTGCCCATCTGCTCTGCAACTACAAAATGTCCACTGAGCATTTGTTGAGATGCAGATGTTGTACTTCAGAAGTATTGGATATTTGCTGCTGTGCAAAGCCCTGCTATTCAATGGCTGATGCTGTTGCTGGTCACTCAGGCATAAGCTGCCCATTTGCGGAATGCTGGCTATATCTGCACACTGTGTGACATTCAACATCACTCTTTTCAGGCTGGATTCATATTAATGCGCACAGAAGCGGTGACACATCTTCATCCATGGCAGCATGCAGTGTGAGCAACAGACAGGAGGGCATGCACTCATCCCAGGGTGCAGAAGGAAGTGCAGAGGTGCAGCAATTTTCTTCCCAAGTGTGTCATTGTATCATAGCACAACGATCACTACAAAAGAAAAAGGTCATTTGGTCGTTTGTCGCACATGCTCCTCCTGTCCACCTGAAAGGCATGAAATCCACACTCTTGAACGGGCCAGGAGCACAGGGGACGGAATTGAGCAATTTCTAGAGATAAGAGAGGGCACTATGCATCTTGTTTGTTTGTGCAGACGTTTTATGGTTCCTGACTGTATTGTATGGGTATGCTGACCTGGGGTTGTTTCAGTGTGTCTCACCTGTGGACAGGATGGATTGGCAACGAGATTTCAGTGAAGATACCTTTGCTGTGACTTTGAGATCTGGCTGATAGTGTGCACTGATGGCTTCCTACTGCCTTGTCCAAATGTAATTGGCACTATTGCCACAGGTCACCCTCCTGAACTGGTGTCCCCTGATTGCTGGTAGGCAGTGTTTCCAAAGAGGCTTGAAATGTACCTGATTTGATGGCATAGGCTGCAGTTATGGAAGATTGGACATCGCCACTGTCCGATGGCAGGCATGTGACAATACCAACACAGCCGTCATGTGAAGACACGTACCCATGTGAGCATTGTGTTGGCAGTGAGTGAGCCCAAGGCCTCGATTGCAGTTTCAACAGCCCATGTGCTGTCCTTTTCCCATGTTCTTGTTTTTTTTCCTCCTCGCATATTTGCCAGGCTCTTGTGTTCTTGCTCTTCTGCTTTCTTGCTCTTGCCCTTTGTGTTGGCTTGCCAGCCCTATCGGCTGCGATTATAACACAACATCCTGTACTCCTGTACTGAGATAGGCAGCTGGACATACCCATCGTCAGAACTGGACAAGATCAGATGCATTGTGTTCTCAGATCTGCATGAGAAAGGGTATGCTGCCCCTTTGCACAGTATGGGTGTCTGCCCATGTGCTGATGGAATTCGTGGTTGGAAGCATCCGTTTGGCCAACTGAAGGCTGTCCATAAGGAGTCTCCCCTGTGCTTGTTTCTGTTGTACTCCAAGGCGCATGCTGAGGAGTGGTGTGTGGGCTCACAACTGTGGTCCAGTCCCAAAGTTGTGTCAACGTTGGGTTCTAAGAATGAAGTAAGATTGGCTGATCAATTCTGTGTTAGTGGATGCTATTTGCTTTGTTGCTCTGTCTTGTGGTGCACCATGTGGATAGGTGTTCTCTGTGGGTGAAGTTCCGACCCTGCACTCTCCTGCAGGTTTTACATGACTGGAGGCTTAAAGTTTGGTGGAGATTGGTTGGCATACCCAGGAGACCCCCTGGGGTACCATGCCCAGTTTGTTGTTCGCGTGGTGCTGCCAGATCAAACGATACATGCCCTCATGTTTGCATCGTCTACCCGGGAGGCTCATGCTGCCCGGAAGCATCTGTTGCTGGCAACGGCCAAACAAGTGAGCAGATGTGTGAGCAGATATGCCACGAATTTTGACTTTCCACTACTGGCCGACGTTCCTCTGCATTTTCAGATGTCATCCATGTGATCGCTCACGAATTTGTTTGCGCGCTTGCAAAATGTACACATGATGTTACTGAAGGCATGCTGATGTTGATGTGTTGGTTCCCACTCGTTTTACTGGCTCAGCCACCGTTGGACTTGAGCACACATCTACTGGCACCATGCACAGCACCTACCCTGACTCACTGCCAATCGCTGTTGCTCTTTCCAGAGCGTTTCTTGTGTACTGGCCACAGCTGTGTCTAAACCACTTTGTCTGTGTCGTGTGGATTGCTGTTTAGGTCAGTGACACTTCAGATCACACGCCTGTCTACTTCTCAGTGGCCCCCTATGCTGGATTTGGGAAGGATGCCAGGAGTTTATGAACAGTGTTCGTGCATCAGGTGTTTCGCCATTGAAGGAGCACATTGTTCAGGAAGGTTTAGACACAGCTTGCGTCAACAAGTCATGCGGTGAAGCTATCGTCGTGAACAGCAAGGATCGACAACCGCGGCGCTCCTTGGCATCCTTTTTTTGCGAGGCTCTTTGCCTAAGAAAGTAATGCAATAGTCTCTAGTTACAACAATCCAGAACACAGCAAATAAAAAAAGCCCTGGGAACAACGGTGGCAAATGGCAGGATGGGGATTTAGCATATTCTGCATAGTCCCAAGGAAAGGACCGTGCTGTCCACAAAGCCACCCAATGGTGATGCGCTTGCCTGGCAACGTGTATCCCTGCCGTGTGCCTGGACACTCAACTAGAGGATTTTCCTGTCCTCTACTTCTGATGCAGTGGGCGTTGTCTCTTTCCCGTTGCTCGACAGTCACACACCTCCCGATATGTTGAACGACCTGGGCACGTCGTGCGAGGATATTCTGCAGATGCGCTCAGCACTGCTTTTTGGCATGCCCCTGGTGAGAACATCTACTAGGGTTTGCTAGGCTGAAGCGGACAGTGGGACAGTGGGGTTTTCAGTGCAGGTACTGACCTCTCGTTGATGTTGGGAGAAAAGCTGGTGGCACGAGGTTTGTCGTCACCGACAGTATCATTGTGCATGTACAGAATTGCTAGATATGCTTACTAGAAGGAGTGGAGGAACTGGACAGCATTTGTAGCACATTTTGGGGACCAGAGGGACGATCAACAAGGCCCATGCTCACTGATACCCATCGGTATGCCCATCTGCATTCAGTACAAGCTATAGTAGAAGGGCCCTCCTCTCATCTGGAGATTGTCTACGTTTCGTGGTAGGAACGAGCATGCGTTGCTGTCAATTGAAAAAAACATATTGGCTGCCATCCTTAACCAATTGTGAGCATTAATGACATTCCAACACAACCAACCAGCCCCACCCACATGCACAGAGCTGTGGCAGACGAGCGTTGCCAGTTCCAAATTCACTTCATCAAGAACTTAAGTACTCTTAAAAGGAGCTTGTGCTGGAACATGGCGGCGAGGCAATCACCGTGGAAAGCGCTTCATGGCAGTAGTTGCGGAATACTGTTTGGCATCTAGACACCAGCTCCCCAGCGCTAGGCTCTACCAACACACGATGGAGAGGTATGGGGAGAAGGGTGCACAGATCAGACGGATGCATTTTTGCCACATCCTCCAGAACAGGTCCGGACATAGACAAACGTGTCAGGACTGCTCGTATGGACCACTTGACATTCACAATCGCCCTGCGCATCTCCCAGTCTCCAACAACCCATTGACGCCCTCGATTGTAGTGATACTCCAGCTTGTGGGACAAGCCAGTGTCTGCTTGGCCACTCTGTCTCCTCATCTCCGTCAAAATTGTGACGCCTGCCCTGTGGCCTGCACTTAGAAGACATGCCAATTTACCATTTGAATTGTCGCGACAGCGTTTGCACTGGTTGCCTCGCTAGCGGCAGCATGCTGCTGGTCTTATTGGTGGAACTTTGCTCTGAATCATGCACGTTGCCTGAGGGCCATTACACATGACGTGTTGGAGTGTACTACTGTCAAGTGGTTCAATGCAACTTGTCACTTCCAATGAACCGCGAACTTGTTGATTGAGATTAACTTTTCTTGCTGCTGTCCTCGCTGCCAATGTCTTCCTGAACAAAACAAAAGCCCAACATCGGCCTCCTAACTACAGGCCGTTCTGCACCTCAGAATGTCAAAAAGAATGTTGACATTTTCTTTGCAGTTTTCCGGTTGGCACCGCAGATCCTGCCGAGGTGGGCGTCTTGGATATCTTTTCCTGTGTCGAGGTTGCGGCCACCCAATTGTGCGCGAGTCAGATGGCGTAACTAGAAAGGCGATGACCCATTCCAGACAAGCCCTTGATGTTGGAATCCGGCCTTTCACCGCCCTGCAGACGCTAGGGCATGCACTACCCAACTGAACAGAACGCAGTGGACTACATTTCCATGCGGAATCTAGATTGACTGGTTGATTCATTGGGCCATGGAGCGGGAACGATTTCGATTGGAATGTCACGCACCGTATTCGCGCCTCATGTGTCTTTCGGAAACTTCTTATCAAACTCTTGTTTCAATGGATTACCAACGACAATCTTTTCGGGGTAATTGGACACTCGTTGATTCTGGATTTCGTTGCCACGACGCTTCGGGTGTTTGCAGAAAAAACAACAACGACCATTTTCCCTGACCAACAAAAGGGAGCCGAGAGCCGCCTCCTTGCCTTGCGCAGAATTGTCACCCGATCGATCGAGTGCCCGTGGAACAAGGCAGCAAACTACGCACAGCGGCAACCGCGCTCCCCCCTCAAGGCTCACACGCCGGCGAATGCCCAAATCTCCGGCCCCAGTCAGCGACGCCCCAACCGGCGGAACAACGGCGGCGTCACCGCGAAGCCCGCACCCGACGCCGGACCAACAGACAACAAACATGCGCCGCGGACTCCCTGGCGAGTAGGCAGCACGCCCCGGCTGCGCCGCCGGCCCCCCTTCCCCGCCCTGGCGGTCGGCTAGTTTTTGAGCCAGCATGAGCGGCGTCACGCGGCTGGAGCTGCCGGTGGCCCTCGACGAGGTGCTGTCCACGCGGGAGGCGACCGTGGTGCAGAGCGTGGACGCCGACAAGCTGCGGCTGCTGCTGGGCTGGCTGGTGGAACAGCTGCGGGGCCAGGCGGCTGAGGTGGAGGCGGGGCGGGCGGCGGCGACGGGGCTGGCGAAAGACGTCGACGACCTGAGGGCGCTGGGGGAGGAGCTGAGGGGGGGCCTGGCTGGCCTGGAGAAGGAGCAGGTGGGGGAATTGGCGGAATTGCGGGAGGCCGGCGTGAGCCGAAGAACTCAGTAAAAGGGTCGCCGCATTCTGGCCTGGGCGGGCGCCGAGTTGCGCTGGCCGTACCTCGGGCCGTTGCGAATGCCCATGGGACCCTGCATGTCGGTGGCGAGCCGTCACTGGTAATGGTGACGGCCGCCTTCCTGCCTTGATGTGTTGTGTTTCCTGAACTGCCAGTCGTCATGAATTCCTGCTTTTCTCGAGCAAGGGAGCTGAGGACTGCCTCCTGGCCTTGGTGTTGAACGCCTCTCGACTGAAAGCCGCCAAGCACCAGAGGCTTGGAAGTTGTTTGCAGGTGTTGAATGTAGGCGAGATAGAGAGGAAAGGGGGACGGAAAGGTTTGGAGCAGATCACCGCGGAAAGACGTCTATTTCGACTAGTGAGATGCACGTAGCACTTTTTGGTGTTTCTGCCAGCTGGGGAGGCGGCCATATATACTTTTCTGGAAGCGATCCACAAACTCACGATCGATCGAATAACAGCTTTTCTTCTCCTATCAGGGAGCTCAAGCAGCGAAACTGGAGTGTGATGGGGAGCGGCTTGAACAACTTGGAGTACTCGCCGGGCAGGTGAGCAGACGCCCTAATTGTTTAAAAGATCTAAATTTTCTGAACTGGGAGCTTTACAGGATGCCAACAGAAACATGTTACTATACTGGCCGTTGAAACTATGTCCCATTCCGCACTTGTTGCCTGCCTGAGACCTGTGGCCAGGGTAAATTACTCTGAGCGCGCTTTTGATCGGTCACAAGAAATCCTTACTACCAATACGCAGTTATAGACGGCCAGTAGGCACACTTCGCGCTACGGTCGCGCAGCAAAACCCACGCGATGAATTGAATATACTTCCTGCGGCTGTTCATTTTACAAGAGGCATCGCATTCTCGTCACATGCAAGGATACATTTGTTCACCCCTTTGCATGATTACCACAGCTGCCCGGTATAGAAGACAGACTCGGTTCGTTGGAAGATGCATCAGTCGACTTGAAAGAGAGAGCCGACGCTGCCGACGAGTTGGGGAAAAGCAATCGGCAGGACGTGGATAAATTGAAGGATGCATTCGACACATTCGTTTCCAATTCGGATACAGCAGGAGGGGGTGGAAACTCTGCCGCACTTGAACCAGAAGGTGATCTTGCAAGGCAGAATCCAACTCTAGAATTGTCAATTTTCCGATCAAACATAAATCAACATTTGATGAGCCACAGTGCAAATGTGCCTATATCTCTTCCTTTTGTCTCAGCTAAAGATTTCGATTATTGAAATCTAACATGGGTGCTCGATCTGTAGCTGCGCTGAATGGATTTGCCATGATAGGATTGCCAGAACTGACGCAACGGGGTCACCAAGACAGCAGAGAATCTGCTGGCTTGAGAAGCAGCGCCTCTTCCTCCTTGCTGATCACATTTATGTCGAATTTTGCAGGCCACGATTTAACGGCAACTGCGACAGGGTCTGGGGAACAAAACACGCATGGCAGGGAGGATACAGTAGGTGGACCATCAGGCAAAATCGAGCGAACTCAAGATGCGGGCAATTCAAATTCTCAAAACAACGAAGAATCCCAGGCAACAACGTCCTGTACACTAAATGCAGAGGTAAGAGGATTGGCTCCCCAACGTTCCTTTGCACAGCAAAAGGTATCTTTTGACGAGATCTTTGGATGATGCCGGGTGCAGCAGCTCATGCCCTAAAGTCAGTTCATCAAGCGGAACACCCACCGTAGTTTAGGTGGAACCTTGTATGTATTTGACATGCTGGTCAAGTTCTGTGAAATCGTATGCCGTGGCAGCCCGTCTGTCGAGGCACTATTGGATGAAATCCATAGGCTGGTGATCGGCAGGAACAGGGAAAGAGCTAAGTCTGCGAAACCACAACGTATGTAAGGCTACCTCTCACTGTTGCGTATTTTCTGCCTGTATCGAAATTGATCGATGATCTGCCGCCAGTTGCTGAAGGTGTCTTTCACAAGCACTAGAGCTTGTATGCCTGCAGGACGTCGACGTCATGAATACCAGGCTGGACAAAATAGAAAAGGAGTTGTCTCAACTTTCTAACGAGAGTCGCGGTCACCATGGCCGTGACTTCCCCACCCAAAAACCATCCCCCGGTTTG